AAAATAAGTCCAGTCTCTTTTTTACCCCTTCCGTCTTGCTACAAGTTATATTTCAATTCGAATCCTTTTTTGTCTTGTTTCAAGTTATATTTTAACTTTAACCCTTTTCCGCTCACTTCCAAGTTCATATTTTAACTTAATTCTTTCCGTTACATTTACCAGTGCTACATATTGTCATAGTACCGGTCCCTGGTACTCTGAGATGATTACGTCAATGATGACTGGCCTGTGATCATGTTTAGTACACATAGTCTCACAAAAAACTACTGAAATGGAACATACCTAAAAAGTGGGGCTCCTCCTTTGCTTGATCGGAAAGCTTTGTTGGCCTGTCCCTGGCACATCGAAAAAAAACTGCCACTAAGTCACTTCAGGTAGTTTGCATCGGACAGCTCTAAATTATCCATATTCCCAGTCGGTTTTAGGGCAAATTTCATTAGCTGAAAAGAATTCCCATGTTGAAAATAAGAAGCTAAGTGTAGCACAACGAAGTCAGGCACCCTTAAATTGCTGACAAATAATCATTCGATCCAGGACTTCCGAAAATAGACGGCTGTCGATAAAATCTTTGGCAATAACGAAGTTAAAACAACCTCATAAATAACAAGAAACAGGGGTAAAAAAAAACAACATTTTGACCCTCTACTTTTCTTGCCAATTCACCTCCAACTATTCAACTCCTCCTCCTTGAACTTGATGGGCCAATTTATTTTTCTTAATTATGACGGACTTACTACTCACTAATGATACAAGTCTTTCGCATGTGCCAACTCTCGCCATCCATGACCACCACCAGTCACAAGAAAATCTATAACTTGCTTTTTTGGACTCACTCTTCAAATATATATTTCCTTTTCATAAATTCCCTCCCTGTGTCTCTCCTTTCAATATTTCATCTCGTTTTACAGTATCTAGTTGATATAAAGATAATTAGGATGGACAAGCAAACCAGTTTTTTAATACTAATCATGACGACTGGCTTGATCGTATTACTGCTAGAAAGTAGAGTGAAAGGCGCATGGTAAAAAATCGTTAAAAAAGAAGAGGCTAATTTTTTTTTTAAAATGAATTAGATAATTTTGTTATGTAAGATGAATTTAGGATAACAATCGAACAATACTTATTAAAGTATGTAGGGGGTGCAGAGTAGAGAAATGAAAATAGAAAGAAAAATAGAAAAAGAACAAAGAAAAGGGTGAATAAAAGTAATATATATATATATATATATACATAACATAGTTTGGGAGAAAAGAAAGAAAGAAAGATTAGCTTAATACAATACAAAAACAGAATAGACAAATATAATAGAAAGAAAAGAAAAAAGAAAGAAGGAAAAATAGACGCATGAAATAAAAAAGAAAGAAAGAAAGAAGGGAAACGAAACTGAAAAAAAAGAGACAAATGAAATAGAAAGAAATAAAAAGGAAAGAAAGAAATAAAGAACGAGGGAAATGAAATAGCAAAAAAGAGTAAGTAAGTGACAAATGAAATAGAAAGGAAGAGTCAGTCGAAATAGAAAAAAAAAATAATGAAAGAGACAAAGGATATAGAAAAGAAAGAGATCCATAAAAGAAAAAGAAAGACATAAATGAAATAAAGAGAAAGAAAGAAAAAAGAAAGAAAAAAAAAAGATGGAAAGAAGAGGTTAAAAAGTAACAAATGACAGAACGAAAAAGACAAAGGAAAAAGACAAGAAAATGGAAGAAAGAAAACAAAGAATCATTGAAATAATGAATAACAAAATGCAAGATGAAGGAATAAATGAAAATGAAAGATAACAAATTAGAAAAAAGAATAAAAGAAAAATAAACTAGGTAAGAGAAAAAAAATCAACGGAAAAACGAATAAAAAAGAGAAAGACAGAAGAAAGTAAAAGAAACGAAAAATAAATACGAAAATACGGCGAGAAAGAAATGAAATAATCGAACGAAAGAAAAAAAAAACACTAGTGATACTTATAGACACTTACATAAAAAAATTAAATAAATACAGGATGGATTCTTGTATTAAAACAAAAAAAAAAAACCTAATTTGTATAAAGACAAAAGGAAAACGTTCAATACCAACGCGTTTTGTCCCCTGAGAAACTTTACCAAGGTAAAGGCAAGGATTTTATTTTGCAATATTTACTTAACAGAAGTGAAGTGAAGGGAAAATAACGTTATGTTTACAGATGTTTTAAAATTTAAGAACGCTATTAAATGATATGAAAGCTGTGTAATTAAAGAAAGATTATGGAGGAGGCTAATTGATGTCAATAAGCGAAAATGAATACATTTTTGCTAAATGTTTTTGTTCAGTTTTTGGTTATTGTTTATGTTTATTTATTTATGTAATTATAAATTTATTTATTTTGATAACTGATTAATGCGTTTATTTATGTGAAATAACGGAAAGACTTGAGTAAACTGTTTTCTTTAAATTTGTTAAGAATTTTTATGGTCTTGTATATTGGTTTGGGTAAAGTAGCATTTCTTTTAAGAAAAATATTTATTTTTTTTAAATATCTACTTTAAATATTTTGAAAACTTAATTTTCTTCCAATTTAGTTCTGTTCATAAATACATGTTGCAAAATAAAATCGTAACATTAACCTTGATAAAGTCCCTCAAAGACGAAACATGTTGACAAAGAAATGTTTTCCTTTTTTTCCTTTTGTTTTTACTTACACTGTTTATGCAGATATATTTTGTTTATATCTGAATTTTTCACAAGAAACTCAATTCATGAGTCATTCATCGTAATTAAACAATGAAGGAAAAATGTTGAAAAGGCACGAATCTTGGATTTATCTATTAAGTTCCACGATTAAGTTCCACGATCATACACTATGATACAGTATATATTATTTCGTTACAAAAATTAGTCTTAACACACGGTGGGATAACTTAAAATAATAGACATGAAAAGAAGAATGAGATCCGACAATTTTGGTTCGTAGATACTACCAGATTTCGGTATTTAAATCTATATATTTAGCGTCTCTGTATATTTAGCGTTTCGCTGTAAATTGACATCGGTGTTTCATGTATTTATCCCTCTCCGCCTTTCTCTTCCATGTATAAGATTGATTACTTTTAAAGAAGAAAACGTTATCATTTTTCTGAACAAGTTCTTTGGATTTTATGTCATTTTTTCATTTAAAACTCATGGATATATGCGTTCATTTACAACACGTGTGCATGCAAGCATGCACACACACACACACACAAATACATACACGCAAACATACACACATATATATATAACTATAACTATATATATATATATATATATATATATATATATATATATATATATGTGTGTGTGTGTGTGTGTGTGTGAAAATATATAGAAATATATGTCGCGAGTTTGAATCATATTTTAAATAAATAATTATATATATATATATATATATATATATATATATATATATATATCAAACAATATAATTTTAATGTATACTATATTTTTGGGTTAAAGTGACCAATATCAGCATTGGACCGTATATAAATATAAAAGTGGACATTGAAGTCAACACTCAGAAGTGTAATCCAATCGTCAGAACATGTGCGTTGTATTTTTTGCTCGTCTGTTTTTATATACAGTTCAGTGCTTATTTTTACTTTGTTTTTGTTGAATATCATTCGGTGAGTACTTGATGCAGGCAAGTGTTTGTGTATGTGTTTAATGAATATTTTTCATACTTTTGTTTTTACGTTTTTGTTCTAACTCACTCATGTCTTCTCTCTCCCCCCTCACTTCCTCACTTCGTTAATTTACATATATTTAATACGGCACGTCAAAAATGTGTAAATTTTCTTTTCATTTTTTGTTTGGAAGTAAAGTCTGATGATCCGCAGTCCTTTTAAAAGGGCTGTGGTGAAATAATTTATTACATGGAACCTTAAAGTGGTCTGTTTTTATTCAAATTATTTGCTCTGGATTTACATTGAGCTCTCTGGATTTTATCATCCTTAGGTTTACCCATATGGATTACTTAGTTTTTCTTAAACTATATATATATATTTCTATGATTTATGCCTCTGTTCTGGACATTTCCCAAAATGCATCTTGATGAAGCGGCTCACGTTCGTGTGAAATAAAGCCGCTCATGAATCATTCCAAATGTAAGTCATCTCTTAACTTTGGATGCTGCATTGATCCAAACTAATGATAATCCGATGACAGTAATTCTTCTTAATATGTTGCTTGAATAAATCTTTCCCAGATAATTCTCGCCCAATAATCTTCTTTGAAATCGATCAAAAACAGAAAACTTCCCTTACGCTTTTTAGACGAAAATCTTTGATCTTCTCATGTATCGAGTCATGATTTTTGTAATGAATTCGTTTTCAATAACCAATAATAATATTACCGTAAAATGACATGTCCTTTTACAAGCAAAAAAAATGACAAAACACTGACGAATATTTCTAAACGTTTCTGCAGAACTTGGTTTCTGTAAATCGGAATTCGTTCTAAGGCATTTAACTGATGTACTATAAATAATATCACGCGCAATAAAATCCGAATAATATTTTTCTTAATTCTAAGATTTCACTAGACTGTTTCGAAAAGAATTTCACTAAAACACCTGAATAAATATGCAGCAAATAAAATCTTAACAGCTATAAAAATAAAGAAAGAAAAACTGCATGCTCCATGATGCAATTTTACGTAGCATCATGTAAAATGGCTGAACACCATACCACGGATTGACCCAAGCCTTGGGAGCGAAATTTTGATTGGACTGAATGATTGGTAATCCGTCGATATCTGTGCTAGCATGAAGTCACACGTCATAGTGACAGAGGGATTGAGTGCATTGGCGTTGTTCAAGCTATTGATATTAAAAGATTATGCGCCCTCTCCAAGAAAGCCGTACTAAGGTCGGCTCAGCATAGTTTCAGTAGGAGCCACGCTGGGCTCTGGGGGTATTGAACAAAATAATGAACCCGAGCAGGGGTCTGCGACAACGATTGGTCAGCCTCCCTAGTAGAAGAATGCGCTCGAAAAACGAGAGTAACCAGTCACGATAGATAGATAGATAGATAGATAGATAGATAGATAGATAGATAGATAGAGTCTGGGTTAGATAGATATGTACAGATTGGGATAGATAGATAGATAGATAGATAGATAGATAGATAGATAGATAGATAGATAGATTCTGGGTTAGATAGATATGTACAGATTGGGTTAGATAGATAGATAGATAGATAGATGAAGCGGCAGATGGTTTGTTATAAAGCTTCATTGGTTTTTACTTATTTCTTCTTTTATGCCTAGAAATTTGCTCAAGGAAATAATGGATCATTCTTCGTCATCCACATGAAGACGACTATTTAAATCCTGAAAGAGTTTTATATATACGCCGACAGATGGAACTGGTAGCTTGATGCAGTTCATTTGACGTTTTAGACCATCTGAACCTTATATAGTTTTACCAAATTCCGGACACAGTTAAGTGTTCTCCACAAGGTAATGAATTCGAGGTTCATTCTCATACGATCGAAAGTTGAAAATTAATAGAGTATTTGAAATACAAGTGCCCTTACAAAGATTACACAGTAATAGAGCCTTGTCATTTAATGCAACGATTGAAGCATGGTCATCCTATTTCGTCGCTGCTCGTTTCATTTGTGCCTGTTGAATTCCGCTTGTTTCCTATTCAATTATCGCATTACAGATTTTACTTTTCCACAGTGTACTGCTCATCCTTCTGTTTATATATCGTATTAGGCATCTGTTTATCTCTCAAATTAAATGTAGTTTCGTCTCTGGTCAAAAGTCATCCCTTTGATGGCGAAACTGAACAGACTTCTCCAGCGCACTGTTCTGGGCGATGGTATAAAGAAGCTATGAGCTTCCCAGACCACATGAAACCCCTTCCGGCCATACAGACAATATCCAAAGGAATACAGGGCATTAGCAATTAGGGACGGGCTTGATTGCAGAATATTATCATTATTCATAGTCAACCGTCTTCGGTTCCCCACTTCCTTCTTTTCGAGATTTATTTCCATAACCCTTTCCGTATCTGGATATGACTGCAATGCAGATGAGGTTTAAAATCTGGGTTTTTCGTTCCTTAGATGCACTGCCTTCAAGTGTTGACTAGATCTATCTATACGAAGTAGCTCTTTGTGAGGCGCGAGAATCCCTGATTGCTATTTCTCTGGCTTGGACCTGGACTTAGTTGCCAGGGGCTATTGGGGACGCATGATTCTGGAATATTATATAGAGATTGGGATCTTGTCTCCCCAACCATCCTCATCAATGAAAATCTTTGTAAATATATATTGCACGTATATAAACATTATGTACATTACATGTTTCAGAAGATCTCAAAATTAAAAGTCCACCATATATATATATATATATATATATATATATATATATATATATATATATATATGATAAGCAAATATAAATGGATATAAATCCGACAGAATGAAGAAAATATCTGGAAAAACAAAACAAAAATCCTTAAAATGCGATTATGTTGTTTTAATTTAATTCATATTAAAACAACATAATCGCATTTTAAGGATTTTTGTTTTAAGTGGCATTTAAGACCCGCTAGTGATTTACAAAGGAGGCCACATATGAAGCAAGTGTGAGGATTGTGAGATGAGATCACTGTTAGATTAACTAACCTTTTAGATCTTGCTCTCGCTTCTTGAAGATGATTCAGACAAGCAGATTGAAAACTGCACTAAAACACGTTGATCTACATTCTACCCGCTTCAAGCCTAAGCGCTCAAGGGTGTTATGTGGTATATTGACTGCTGACATATATGGCGGCCGTTTTTCCAATAAAATAACTTTTGGCCTACCATTTTTGTTTTCTTTTTCTTGTTTTTTTATCTTTGTTCTAACTTTTTATTTTTTCCTGGTGACCGTTTTTTCCCAATAAAATGTCGTTTATTCTAACCCTCCTTAGCCAGTATTACCCGGATGATCGGTTAGGTAGGTAGGTAGGTTCTGGCTTACAAGGTTTTTTACTGTTTGCTTTCCTCAGTGTACCCGGTCGGTGTTTATTTTTTCTTTTCTTTTGCGGTGCTGATCGATTATTTTCAACCGTTATGGATGCTTTTAAAGTCTTTTCTTTTTTATTGAATTTTTTCCCTGATATCATTTTGTTGATTTTTTTTTTCTTTTTAATTTACAAATCGTATTAGCTCTCTTTTCTCAGACTGCCCGAGTATAGGTATTAAAATAAAAACATATCGACACATACATATATATATATATATATATATATATATATATATATATATATATATATTAAGTCGACCGACATTTTAGTGGGTTCGCTTTGTTAACAGATGCTGCATATATCTTTAAACAGTATTCATTACGTCTACCGGCCTACGTACTCCAGAAAACTCAATGAAGTCAATGCATGACGACTCAGACGCTGATGATTCGTCCTGCAAAGTAATGTGAAATTTCGAATCCTGCCGTAGAGCATATCATTTTCATTCATTTTTAACCAGTGCAAATACGAGTATGCATTAAAAAAATGTTTGAACTATTAAAATTATATTGCATTAAAATATAACACACACACGCAGGAACACAGACAGACAGACAGACACACACACACACACACACACACATATATATATATATATATATATATATATATATATATATATATATATATATATATATATATATATATATATATATATATATATATATATATATATATATATATATAGTACATATATGCATATATTCACCTTTTTAGACGAAATGAATAATTCTGTTATTTGCATTTGTTCGTATTTTTCCAATGAAAAATGCTCCAGTGCACATGTTAGTACTTCGTATGTCCATTCCACGAAGCCGTTCCTTGCTGATTGACCATAGATTCTCGATGAGATTTAAATCAGGAGAATTTCCCGTCCAGTCTTGTGTACTTTGATTTGCCAATGTATTCGTGCAACGTTAGAATTTTCGTACGCTTCCTTGGAGCAACGTCCATCGCTCGACAATGGCCGTAGGACAACTAAGCAACAGTCGGGACGTGATAAAAATCAGATGCAATCACGGATGTCGCAATATTTTTGTAAGACCAAACAAATTTCATCATATACCGCGAATATAGATTCATATTACTGTACGCATAATCTGAGTAAAAAATAAAAATCGATTTCACCCTATCACTTCAGTGAGTCTAAAACTGACCGTATAGTGAAAGAAAGGAATCTAAAGCAGTTGTACAATCAATTTGCATATATATATATATATATATATATATATATATATATATATATATATATATATATAATATGTTTGTGAGGAATTATTGTCTGACCGACACTTGAGGCTAAAAATTCCCAAACACGTCCACATCGTCACTACAATCGCTGTATTATATTGATCATCCCTGATCCATAAATATAGTAAAGTTTACACGATATAATTTCGTATATTATGTATGCACGTGCGTGTGTGTGTTTGTGTATGTGTGTGTGTGTGCGTGCGTGTGTGTGCGTGTTTAACAAATAAGGACTCTAGATATTTATGCCTATTGTTTGTGTTGGTTTTATTTCATGAACAGTTGACGTTGCATGTAACATGAAATAAAAATAAATTCAGCTGGCTGTGCTACTGATCTTTTTTTCTCCTTCTCAGATGAAAATTTTCCCATTTGTAATGTACAAATCTGTTGACAGCCGAATCACGCAAAAAACCAACGAACTCTGCCAAATGACCAGGTGCCGTCCATAAAAAAATATTTAAAGAAACGATGTCGAAAGTTGATAGGAAGTTAGGGTATGGATAGACTAATTTAAGAAAACTATAAACAAGAAAGCGTAAAGGATGATAACCATAGATGATTATGTTTAGAAATAACAGGGGAGAAAGATTGAAAGGATAAAGAACAAATAGGGGAAAGAAAGAATAGAAGATATAACAGAGAGAAAGAAAGAAAGAAAGGAACAAATAATAGCGAGAAAGAAGAGAAGAAATAACAAAGAGAAAGAAGAAAGAAAGAAAGAAAGAAAGAAAGAAAGGAACAAATAATTGCGAGAAAGAAGAGAAGAAATAACAAAGAGAAAGAAAGAAAGAAAGAAAGGAACAAATAATTGCGAGAAAGAAGAGAAGAAATAACAAAGAGAAAGAAGAAAGAAAGAAAGAAAGGAACAAATAATTGCGAGAAAGAAGAGAAGAAATAACAAAGAGAAAGAAGAAAGAAAGAAAGAAAGAAAGGAACAAATAATTGCGAGAAAGAAGAGAAGAAATAACAAAGAGAAAGAAAGAAAGAAAGAAAGAAAGAAAGAAAGAAAGGAACAAATAATTGCGAGAAAGAAGAGAAGAAATAACAAAGAGAAAGAAGAAAGAAAGAAAGAAAGGAACAAATAATTGCGAGAAAGAAGAGAAGAAATAACAAAGAGAAAGAAAGAAAGAAAGAAAGGAACAAATAATAGCAAGAAAGAAGTGAAGAAATAACAAAGAGAAAGGAGAAAGAGAAAACGGAACAATTAAAAGAGAGAAAGAAGAGAAAAAATAAAAAAAGAGAAAGGAGAAAGCGAGTAAGGAGCAAATAAAGGAGAAAAATGATGGAAGAAATAACAGAGAGAAAGCGAGAAAGTAACAAATAAAAGAGAGAACCAAGAGAAGAAATAACAGAGAAAAGTGATAGATGGAGACATAAATAAATAAAGGGGCTAAAAACAGAAGACATAAGAGAGAGAAATTTAAAAGATCGAAAAGAAGAAAGAGGAGAGAGAACAGAAGGGGAAAGAGAGAAAAGATAAAGAAAGAAAGGTAGAAATAAAGGAGGGAAAGAATAGAACTCATAGAAAGAAAGTAGGAAGGGGTAAATAAAGGAAGGACGGAATAAAAAAAAACATCAATGAAAATATATGTAGGGACGTAAGAGAGAATACACAAAAAGAAAGGAGGTAAGAAACAAATAAAAGTGAGAGAGAGCGAGATTGAGAGATAGAGAGAAAGGAAATGTATGACACGAGGAAGAAGAGAAAGAGTCAAGAAAGAAAGGGTGTGATAAAGGGTTATGAACAAGAGGAAGGTAATAATGACGAAAGAAAGAGAATTGATAATGAGGGTAAGGGAGAGATAACAAAAAGAGAGGTACAAAGAGAAAGAAAATAAATGACGTCATTACTAGTTTTATCAACGATTACAAAGTCTCTACAACATTAAACTAGCGCCAAAAAGTAACTATCTAGAAATTATTTTTAACAAAGGATGGAAAATGCGATACAAAAATCCGAGAGCGCATTGCGATTGTGAAAGATGCCTTCTAATAGTCATGCAGAATATTAAAAAAAAAAAAAAAAGGTAATTGAAAACAAAGCGCACTGAAGTGTTATATAGCATCTGTACTCTTATATGGTACTGGATTCTGAATAATCTTATCATAGATGTAGAAGAGATATGAGATATTTTCTACAGGAGTATGCCGACAATACCATAGACCAAACACGTGAAAGACGACACTGTTTTAGACTAAATAGACTTATATGGTACCCTGTAACCAATCAGAATCGTACGCGCACTACATGTATTGCAGTCGCAGTGGAGTTTTTTGAGCAAGATATCCTTTTTGAATTCAGATTTTCCATCTATTATCTGGAGGAGAAGAAGAGGATTCAAACCTTTTCCAAGAAAATTAGTACGTAATTGAATGTAATGTATCCGACTGGAATTCGAACTTAGCTCTCCGATTCTTCAATCCGAGTCGCTATCAATTATTCCACCGTGCCTCCATCAGAAAAAGACAGGTGAAATTTCTAGTGCATACAATGAGGAAAAAGGAGTTGGAAAATTAACACTCACAGGGCATAATGAACAAAACAGGGACAGACGAAATCAGCACTTAATCTACCTAACGAGCTTGTGTTAATGATAGACAGAACAGGATTAGGAGATAAAGCAAAAAAAAAGACAGACTTTACCAAGGACTACCGGATGTTGCACAGAGCCATGGGGGGCACGGAAGGAGAATTTTCCCAGTCTCTTGTAGATTATCAATAGAATTACAGCGAAGACTGAACGTATTAGAAATGGGATGCTACAGAACCTCCTAGGTAATGCTTATGTAGAGGCAGTGATACCCTGCAGGGTACCGCCTTAGTCTAAAGGAAAGTTAGATGAGGAAAAGTGGGATTGAAACATCATTAAAGGAACTGAAAAACCGTTCAGAGACTTACGCATTGGCGTGTAACCTAGGTATTTTTACATTAATGTTCACCCAGTACAAGACTCAAGAGCCACACAAGGTAAAGTGTTAGTGTGTGGTGTTAGATGTGCGTAAGAAGAGACAATAAGTTTTGCCCATGAGGTTATGTAGAAAATAAAATGGTTAACCGGAGTCTTGAAGAGGTCAAAATTGTAGTGAATGTGAAGACATCCAACAGGGATTCTGTTCTACAGTTCTTGGGAAGAAGCTGTTCAAGTGCTACTTATTACTAACAGAATGCGAAGGGAATGAGGATGGTTCAACCTTTTGTAAGTGATATGGTGGATTTCGGCTTAATGTCCAGAACCGAGGAATGTATATAATCGAATTATATGACATGGAAATAACGACAAAGTAACGAGAGTCTCATATTTTGTCTGTGTAGAAAAGTTATAAGGTAGAAAATAATTCATCACCCACAAGGCCACGGTGACTTTTCTGAACTCTAAGACAAGCAGCCCCAGCCCAGATATGGCAACAGTAATCTATTGTTGGTCTGATCTTGCTCTTGTAAAACAGGAAGAGCCAGATGCTTACTGGAGAGTTGAAATGAATCGGCCGTTTTTACCGCATCATTAGTAACATTTCGTATATCGAGGAAGCTGGTCAGGTACTCAGCTACACAAGGTCGCTACCACCACACTCGCTCACAGAAATAATGATTTATGTTGATGATGATGATTCTCAACTGGTGGTTATTTTATCCATGATTTAGATGCTCTACATTCGAGATTGTCTAAGAGAAAAATACATTTATGAAGATATCAGAAAAAAATAATTTTAAGCTAATTGACTGAGACATCGTCTTAGATAAAATAATTAAGAAGCGTCCAAAGAAAATTAATAAAATTATGAAGGGAAAAATATTAAAGTCTTAAATAAACAGGAATTAATTATAGTCCATCTTGTAAGTATTGGTTGGCATAATAAAAGCAATATAATCCTGTCTATATCTCTGAGATTAGGTATTAGTATTATTTACATTATTCGGACAGTTATCCTCATCGGCATAGTCACAATGTTTCGGCAGGCTCTTTATTTCGTTTTATGCTTCTTCCGGATGTCTCAGTTATTTCCCTTTAACTGAACTCTCTAAATTTGGTTCACTACTACTATAGACTGTTATTGAACTCTTTGGGCCGTGTCACTGGATCTAATCAACGTCTTTATCCAAGGGGCCATGTGTCTGAGAATAGCTGCGTACGAATTTCTGGGACTTATAAACATAATATCTCAGCAACCGATTTTCACCATCATATTTTCATTTTATTATCTTTTTTATTATTTACCAGAGCATATATTGCAAATTTTCATTGCTTTTCTTTACAAAGAAAACCGTATTTTTATTGCAGGGCTGTTTACACTTGGTTCTTGATCTTATATATTGACGCTGAATAATTAACAATTCACGCCGTTATTGCCATAGGTAACAAGCCTTACTTGTACTTGTACCTCTGTCAGAGGAAGGTGTTGACTGGAAGCCGGATCTTCAGGCATCCGGCGTTTGCCAATAATTAATGACTTCCAACCCCGAAGACCTGTAGATAAAGAATAAGGAAATAGGAAAACATTAACGTATGTTTGTTATTATTTTATATGTTTCTGTTCGAGAGAAGTGTGATGAACCCCAAATTAATATCAGTCTTACTTTATGATAATGAATTCAAAATATTTCCTCAATGGTTAAGACGATACTTACGACACCAGAGATGGGGATCTACAGAAGGGTTCTGAGAATAACATAGCCAGGTGATATTATCAACTTAAGAGACATAAGGATAACAGGAACGAAATGATATTTTCTGATCGTATCAGAAAGAGAACGGTGAAATTTCTGGAATATATAAAGAGGAAAAAAAGCCTGGATAATTTGACACTCAATGGATATAGTGATAGCATGTGATGCTGAGAAAAACAATAATTAACCTACGTCAGGAGCTTGTACAAATGGATGGCAGATTGGGAACTGGGATAGGCATTGAGATAAACATTGTTTAGATGTAGGATCTAAGAATGACAGAGTCGTGGTGAGCCATAATCGCCTAAGATCTGAAAGGACAGGATGAATAGAAATATTACTACCTTCTATGTGTATCTGTCAGGAACAGTGATCATCAACCTCTGTGAAATCAATTCAAGATAATATGGTAAACACTGAAGGATAAAAAAACTACCTGTTCAGTAACGCTAACATAGATATGCGTACCACCTAAAATTATTAGAAAAAAAAAGGACACTCAAAGATTACACTAACTACATACCGCCGTTAGTTTTACAGCTGCAAATTTACAATACTGGATTATTCACGCGGCGCATAGGCTAGAGATATAAATCTGGGTGATTAGCCTACTGCGCTGGCGAAATGCGTTTTGATAGGGTTTTATAGTACCTTGTATTCCCATGCGGTCATCAATCCAGGTACTGACCAGGCTCATAGTTGTTTAATTTCGGAGATTCGATGGGAAAGGTTGTTTCAAGATGATATGGCCATATGCCGATTTCGGGTAAAGTTCAATTACCGACTCTTAATTCTTGAACAGGATCGTGTACGACTCGGCACCAAATTTTAAAGATAATAAATCTCTCTCTCTCTCTCTCTCTATATATATATATATATATATATATATATATATATATATAAAAAAGGCTTAAACACTAATATTCCATGGTCATAATTTATTCCACTGGAATCGTAAATACGATCCAATTCATCAGACCTACAAATTCAAAAAAAAAAACAAAAAAAACAACTCCGGAAATAAAAATAGAATTTAGAGAGAGTGTAAGTATGAGAGTGTGGATCGAATGTTAGAGCTAAAGAGAGGGGTAACAGACGAGAGAAGGTGGGGGATTAAAATTTAACAGAGAGAAGTTTTAGAGAGGTGAGTCAAAGACGGTTTAGGAGAAATATGAATGTTGTCAGATATCTAATACATTAAAGATGTAAACACTAATTTATATATATATATATATATATATATATATATATATATATATATATATATATATATTATATATTGTTAAAACTGGGATAACGCAACCAAAAATCTACTAGGTGTGTGTGTATCGTTGATTATAAGCAGAAATGTCAAAGAACGAAACATATAAAGTCGTTCTTTTGCATGTAGAATGGAGTTGACCTTACGTGACATGGATTCTACAAGGTTCTGAAACCATTGCTGGCTATTACCAATCCAGGCATGCTATGGATATTCCGAAAGTGACTTCTGTCTGTTGGGTGTGGCAGCACAAAATTTCAGGAGGCCTGCAATATATCCAACTCAACGCGATTTAACTCTGGAGAGCTTTAAGGTCAAAAGCATAACTAAAAGTTGTCCGAATGTTGCAGGTACCAGTATCACGTCACCAGGTGGCGATATGGAATTGCACTATTTAGCTAAAATAAATCAAGATCATAAACGGGAGCAAATTACCTCTAACATATAATATATATATATATATATATATATATATATATATATATATATATTGTTATACTAGAACATACCTATTCTATTGTAAATAGACTCTCCCACATATAATAAGTAGTAGTAGTAGTATCAGTCGGCAGGTGTCTCAGAGTGAGTTGGTGAGTCAGTCGATGTCGGACATTAAAGTATCAACCACCACAACTAGATTGCTGCGTCATTAACTATTATTTCAAGTTCCTAACTTTTTGTACGTCGAACCTTGTTTAGGACCGACTCAGTGAAATACAATCCTCCACTGTGAAAACTACTCTACAACACACACACACACACACACACACACACACACATACATATATATATATTACACATTTCAAGAGAGATTCAAACTTTTAATAGTGGTCCTTTCAAGCGGCAATAATATCCACCACCGACTAGTACAACAGCTGGGTCTATAGATTAACACACTCTTGTGCACATACTAACGGATACACTGCCTAAAGGAACAAAGAACCTGATCGATATGACAAAAGACATGTTATCTATGAGCTGGGATCCTCTTTGCAATATCAATCCTCTTATATGGTAGCAAATGCTGGAAAATCTCTTCACAGATGAGGAATACATTTGAGACAACAGAATTCTTGTTCTACAGAAGAATGCTGGGAAGAACGTGGAATGAACATTTGGAGAATGATGGACTTTTAGAGAAGTTGAAATTAAAAAAAGAAGGAACTTAAACTTAGAACCAGAAAGAGAGTTAAAATTTCTAGTTTACATAATGAGGAAAGAGGGCTTAGAAAGTTTAATGCTCACAGGACATATTGAGGGCAAAAGACAGGCGGGAACAGCGCATAATCTACGTAACACAGTTGTGCAAATGACTGGCAGAACAAAGGTTAGGAGAGATGGCGAAAAGACAAAATTTACTAGGAAGAACAGAAAGCTGTTGAGAGTCATGGTCTCATAAAAGATGAAGGATATTGTTGTATAGCCGCCCTTCTTCTGGGGTTCTCTTGGGCGACGGTCTCAAGGCGATCATAATAAAGTTGTTTTCTTCACTCTGCCGTGTGTTCGTTTTTCTTAGTTCGGAAATAAATGAGAACTTCATCAAGAGTGATTTTCACTTTATTAAACACGTCGACACGTACATTGTTAACTCACCAGTGAGCTCGATCCATCATCCCCGCCCACACGAAATTAACACGTCTACTCTTATCGACCCATAAAACTTAACTCATCGAAAATACTTTCTAACTTTAACATTCCCAGGCTTCTGCTAAGCCAATCAAAATCGATATCCATATTTTGTATACCTGCTGACTCCAAGGTAAGCCTCAGAATGTCTGAGCCGAATACACTGACAATAAAAAATAATTCTATGAAAATAATACTTAACAATATTAGCTCTTTATTTTTCTTATTGACAGTAATATCATTTTTAACAAAAATCAGTGATACTAGTAACGATATTGCTCTTAACATTGAGTAAATTAAATATAGCAAGTAAATAAAATGTGCGTCATCAAGGCTACACTTGAGTGTATCTATTGTACGTGATAACCGTATCTGGAGCATCAATAAACAAATGATATATCTCAAGATATAGTCGGCTAATAATGGTTAATCAACCGTTCGTAGGTTATTCAAAGCAAGAAAATAGTTCTAGAATTTTTTTAATATGATAATTACTGATACAAATCCTTCTAATTAACCGATAGCTGGAAGAAGGTGTGGATCCATACCTTTCCCAAATGTATTTGCCCGTAAAAGAATATAACAACTCGACTTGTATTGGAACTCGTCTCTGCGATTTCTAATTCTGAGTCGTTATTCATTACACCACACGCCCATCCAGCAACTGGTATCCCCACGCGGTCACCCGTCTAGATACTGCCCTCACTCGACACTGCTTAACTTTGGTGATCGTAACACAATCGGTGTTTCAACGTAGTCAAAAGCCAACATGATCGCGGAAAGTCTTTTATACACCACAAGCCCATCCCAGCAACTGTTATTCACATGCGGTCACCCATCTACATACTGACCACGCTCGACGCTGCTTAACTTTGGTTATCGGTGTTTCAACATTACGTAGTCTTAAGCCAATATGCTATGTGGAAAGTCAATTATTTGTTTATTACACAAATGTAATTACAACACCTTTGTTTTATTCTTGCACAGGGGGATAGTATTATAAACATCATTTCCTTTTCTCCCCCACTTGCAACACGATAATAAATTTAAATATTTCTTTCCCCCACTCTCTATATATGAATTCGCGTGCACGGTGGCAAATACACAAGCAAGCAAGCAAGCAAACAAAGTCCACATAGGTTTAGCATTATAAAGATGGTCTCTCTTTCGCTCTTTGTAAAGACTTGAATTTTGGTTTTTATAAGAACCAGCATTTAATACCAGCCCATAAACTCAATAAATATATAGTTGCAAAGCACAAGTTTTTAACCCAACTCTTTCGCCTTACTCCATTGGCGTTATCCATTAGAACATTCTTCGGTCTAAGCAGAACATCACTGCCGAAGTTTATTGCCAGCAAATGGATCAAATCCAAATTAAGTTACGGAAAATGCGACGGTACTAGTTAATCAAAGAGGGGTCCAATTCTGCTTCATGACAATGCTTCTCGGCTATATGTTGTCAGGAATACATAGTAGAAGCTGACACTGAGATTGGAGACTTTGCTATTCTACCATATTTCTTTCATCCACTTAATACCACAGACAACGTTTTAAGATAAAGAAAATTCCGTTGTAAAGAAAAAAAAAAGATACGGAAACTGCATTCCAAGATTTCTTAGCATCCAAACAATTAGTATTATCGTAAAGTCATAGACAACTTTATACACACAGAAATGTATAGATGTTCTGCGTTCCTATATTTGACTGATTTAGCCACTATTCAAATACATTAATTCAGGAATAAAACTTGATTCTGAAATCGGATATTATTTTCCAAAAAAGCCTAACATTTTAGATTTTTAAAGTATCGCTAAAATGAAGCAATACCTTGTGACTTATTTGAAGTAGAATTATACAAAATAAAGTTGGTAAATTAACTTAGTTCATGTCGAACATTACTTTGATGAACTTCCTGGAGTCTTATGTTGAAAGCGGTTTAAACCTCAGAGGTTCTGCGGATTACCTTAAGTTTTCACTGACAAATGTCAAAGAGTAGAATTATAAATGAGTCCAAAGTTTCCCTCTTTAACATCCAGCAGCTGATAAAAATCTGAGAAATATATGTTCGCTTTTTAAATACCTAGAAGGCAATTTTTAATGTATGTATATACAATTCCAGACAAAAAAGACAGAGCAAATAGAAAACTATAATAAATTAACATTTTGGTATGTGTCTCACATGATAAATCAGCTAGAAATATCATTTCGAAATGTAGCTGTAGTTGTTGTTGCTGTTATTGTTATTATTATTTTATGTGTCGCGACCATTCATGGCGTGGACGTTCATGGCTCTCAAAAAGTTCCTACCCCTTGTTACCCATAACAGGTTTTTCCTAATTTTGCTAATGTTCCCACCCACCTTCCGTAATCCCTCCACACAAGCTTACTACGTAGGTGGCTCGCTGCCTTACTCTAAAATATGAGATTTTTTTTCAATCATTCTTTATATAATATGAATCCAAATAATTTCATTTATCTCTTTGATTCCAGACATAATTGTTCTTTTTGCTGATCGTTTCTTTATGACTTATTCGTTGCCTACTGGCTCTATCCATGGAAGTCTCAGTATCCTTCTGTAGAAGCGCATTCCTGTTACCGTCAGTTTTATTTTCTCTGCTATATATGAGTATAGGTCTTTTCTTTGTTTCTAACTTCTTTCTGCTTTTTTAATACTTTCTTTAACATTAGAATGCTCCTTTTGACCTTTTTTAAATACATTCTGATTTTCGGTTTCCTACCTGTTAAACCTTTGCACAGATATTTAACCATCTCTACTTGCTTGATAATGACATCTCCAATTTGTGATTTTCCTCTTGTTGATGACCATTCTTGCTGTCTTCTTGCAGTTGATGGTTAGTCTTTTTT